GGAACCAGGATGCAAAATGGGGTCATCTGCTGGGGGTGGGGGTGGGGTCACCGTCGTTCATTTTACATTTCTATAATGTATTCAAAAGCAAATTTCCGAAATGGCCAAAAGCCTCATTTTCTGGGTATCCTGGGAAGTGGGCTGGGCTCCCTGCAGTGGGTAGGGTGGAGTGGGGCTGCTGTCGCTGTCCAAGCCGCTTGGGGCCAATTGTTTCCTGTAAGAGGCACCTCCTGCCCTGATACATCCGGCCTCCGGGACATTCCACGGAGAGGCCAGCTGTCCGCCATCCCCACATGGCAGCTCCGGAGCTGCAGCCTGAGCCAGGAATTTCCGTTCCACACTTGGAAAAAAGATCCTGCCAGAGGATTCTTAGCGTCCAACAGAAAGGGCTGCGGAAGAGAGGAGTGATCTCTGGAGATAAATAAAGCACCTTTCACGCCTGCGCTGCTGCTGGCTGCGCCCAGGCGCCTTTTCCACTTGTCTGAGAGAGGGTGGGCGTGGTTTACCCCTCAGGCCAGGATACCGGGATTAGAGCAGGGAGGTGACTGGCCCAAGGTCGCTTGGCTTTGAGTAGCAGAGGTGGGCCCGGATCTTGGCTTCCCAGCCCCCACTCCAGCGCTGTCAGTCTTCAGGGTGTCTACCTGCTTCCAAGAAGCGCCTGGCCCTCCTGTCTCCCTGTGTCCTGCCCCGGGCAGAGTGACTCATGGCCCCATTGGTTTGTGATTCATTCATTGACTCCTGCAGACATTCTTTGGGCCAGGACCAAGTTGTGGTGAATAACCAGCCTCTGAACTCACACCTGCCCCTTCCGACCCCCGGAAGCTGCATGATTCCCACTCTCTGCCTCAATTTCCTCATCTGTAAGATGTAGAGAGTGCTGGCTGCACAGAATTGTGTGAGTGAATGCCGTTTTGTATGTAACATTTTTACCACAGCTGTCACATATTCGATGCTGAGTAGGTACTGGCTGAATTTGCCCTGAAACCCATCCACTGTATCACGGCTGCTCTTATCAAGGTCATCTGCGATTTCTGTGCCATGATCAGCCTCAGTGTTTGTCTCACTGGCCCTGTCAACAGCACCAGCCCAGCTGATCTCCGCCTCCTCCTCCCGTGGGCACTCGACTGGCAGGCCTCCACGCACTTTGGTCTCAGCCGCTCCTTCTCCATTGCCTTTGCCCGCCCCCCTTTGCCCCAGCACATTGGTGTGAGAGTGCACGGGTCCTTCCCTCCATCTCCACACACCCAGCGTGCAGCACTCTTAGCTCATGCTTCGGAGCACGTCCAGCTGTTGACTCCCCGGATGTCCAGTGGGCATCTCACACTGGACGTGGAGCACTGGAATCTTTTTGCAGACATGCTCCACTGCTGGCTTTCCCATCCAGCCGATGGCAGCTCCACCCTTCCAGTGGCTCAGGCACCAAACCATGCAGGCACCTTGCTCCTCTTTCTCCCACGCTCTCTAGCCCACCTATCAGGAAATCCCGTTGTCCCTGCCCTCAGCATGTGCCTAGACTTCGACCATTTTCCACCCCTCCATTGCCACCACTGCCTCTCACTCGGGCTGCTGCCTCCTCGCTGGTCTTCTGTCCTCTCAGCTGGGTCTGGGCTGAGCACAGCAGCCAGAGGAAACCTTCTCAATAGGAGCCAGCTCATGTCCTCCCTGCCTGCCAAAGCTCCCCAGTGGCTCCCATTTCACTCCAGGGAAAACCCAGAGTCTCAGAGCCCCTTAGAGTGCTGTGTGATTCGCCCTCCCGCCCTTCTGACTCCCTCGCCCCTTTCGCTCCCTCACTCCAGCCTCACTCTGCTCCAGCCAGCCCAGCCCCTTTGCTGTGCTGCGAACACAGCGGGCTTGTTCCTGCCTCAGGGCCTTTGCACTGGCTGTCCACGTTGGCAGGAATGCCCTTCCTCCAGATCCCTCTGTGACTGACTCTCCCTCTTCAAGCCATTACTCAGATGTCAGCCTTGCAGTGAGGCCTCCTCAACCACGCACATGAAATTGCAAACCCACTACACTCCCCACATTCCCAGTTTCCATTTCCCTGCTCTGCTTCTTCCTTCTTCCATAGCACATGGCTCTCAGGATAGAACTCGCCTGCTTATTAGGTTTGTTGCAAGCCTAGCATGTCAGCTCCCTGAGGACAGCAGCCTTTGTTTTGTTCATGGATAGGTCCCAGGAATGGTGCCCGATTCATAGACAGCCCTCAGCAAGTATTTGGTAAATACATTGACTTTTTTTTGTTGTTTTGGAGATGGAGTCTTGCTCTGTTGCCAG